AGAGTAATTTACAGTTCCACTCATATTTCCTATACCTGGCTAAGAATTCTCACCACCCTCCCCTCCAAAAAAAAGAAAAACATGGGACATGTTAAAGTAAGATCTCCTTCATATAAGAGTACTGTAACATAGAGGGTCAAAGGGGTAGACTGTCATGGGTTACTGAAAGCACAGATTTAAGAAACCAAAACATCTTGAAGCAGCCATAAACTGGGAGCAACAGCTGGCAAATTACACTGGTCAACTATTTGGCCTAACTTATTGCTACATCCTACCCTTTTTAACATTCAATTAGTATACAAAGAAGGGAACACTACAAACATATTCCATTATGGAAAATGGACTTTTGGTAATTCAAATAGCTAAAATCCAATCACATGTGCCATGACAGTTGAAACTAAGCAACCAAAAGACACCAAAAGCAGAAATATCATACACCACAGATGACAAAAACAGGGCACAAAACCCTTCTTAGTTAATTGGCAACAATCCCTTTCCTAGAAAGCACCCCCCTATACCTCCTTGTGGGATCAAGATGCCCAAATGAGACTAGAGAAGAATACAAAGTGTGTTATGGTCAAACACAAACTAGACATGAGCCAGGCCAAAAAGGAATTTGAAATTAACCTTACAAAAAACTCACAAGTCAACTCACAAGAAACACTTAATAATCACTGCACAGATATACTCAATGATGAAAATGGAACAAATGGCCTGAATAAAATCTTTTACTTCAGTCTTTTCTAAGAAAGAATAACAGCAAAAACTGTCACTTCCTAACTGTCTTTTATAGCAGCTAGATCAATAGTGGTAAATACAAAGGAAATTCTAATCTTAACCAACCAGACCTAAAACACAGGAACTAGGTGTCCTCCACTGAAAAACTGAAAAGAATTAAAAAATGAAACTCTGGAAATCTTGGCCAAAATGTACATTCTATACTAAGAAAATAATGTGTTGTGACAAAGACATCAGCTCAATGTACTGTTGAAGCCATAGTGGATCACAAAACATTAGTCAATGTCAGGAATGATAGTTGAATGAATGAATAAATGAATAGATGTTACTCTACTCATGATCAAAATAATGCTCTATATGCAACATTCCAGTAGATCCAGTTGCCAATTCAAGAGATACAAATCAAGATGGAGAAAAGGAACTGAAGGGACAAGACTCTTTACCTAATGACAAACTAAAACAGGACTCTTCAATGGGGGGGGGGGAAGGGGGGGGTAGATATGATCCAAACTTCTAAAATGATGAATGGAGTGAATACTGACTTCTCCAAAAAAAGCCTGAAAGAGGATGTTTCAAAATAACTAAAACCAAGCACTACTTTACATTGCAGATGGTAACCTTATCAAAGTCACTACTCTGAATCTTAGTACAATCTGGAGATACACAGTGGTTCCAGAAGAGCTTAGACAAATTCCTGAATAACCCCCAGAGAATCATAACTCGTTACTGCAAGAGATTAGCGATATGTCAGGCATGTTGTTTAAACTTTTTTCCCAATGACATGTGAAAACAGTTTTTAACATTTGGTTTTTTTTAAT